AAATTAGTGTTTCTTGGTACATGCAACACAGATTTTTATAAAACTAGTTTTCCTGCGCTGTGGGTCTATACACAATTTTCTCTGGATCTTACAGTTTTATAATTAATATGGTGATCTAATAAAAATTTTACTACTTGTAAGGATGAAACTTTTCCTTTACTGTGATAGTTCACAGAGGGTTTTTTTTTAGTACAGAATGATTTATTGTTTCCCTCTCCCTCCCCTCCCCTCTCCTTCCCTTTCTTTCCTGTCTTTGTGTGTGTAAGCTTTATCATCCCCAACCCCAGAATAAGTCTTAAGATTAGGAATTTAAAAAATTTATGAGTTTCCTTTAAAAGGGATACAAGTGTAAGAAATTCCTTTTTTTTTTTTGGCGGTTGAACTCAGGGCCTTCATCTTGAACCACTCCCCCATCCCTATTTTTGTAAAGGGTTTTTCCAGATAGGTCTTGCAAACTGTTTGCCCTGGCTGGCTGGCTTTGAACCTCGAATCCTCTGGCTCTCTGCCTCCTGAGTAGCTAGTATTACAGGCGTGAGCCACCTGCACCCAGCAAGTGTAAGAAATTCTTACACTTTCCAGAATGAGAATGTTTCATTTAATTTCCTACATTTAACACTGTTAACTTGAAGACAAGGTTGATAATGGGGAATTTCACAATTCTGGGCAACTGAAATATGTACACTGAGCTAACAGGCCATGGAACGTCAAGTTTTTCTATTTTCATTTATGTAATATTGGTATGGTACTATTTACTCCAGTCTAGAAATTTGTCTCAATTTATGTGTATCGTTGGTGTAATATCTTATTTCGAGAAATTGTTACGCAGTTTTCTGTAGTGAGCGGGCCCGTGAAAGTGTGCACTCAACTGCGGTGTTCAGCCACCCACACTTGGCTGGCAACACATGTGAAGGAGGACCCAGAGCCACTAGTTCAGTTTACACATTTATTGAGGGACTTGTTACGTGCATAATTGTTACATTGCATTGTTACGTGCATAAGGGCTCCTCAAACTGGAGAAGGGGTCCTGGGCAGAAGTATCTTCCACCAAAAGCAGGTTCTCGTGAAAGCGAGGAGGAGAGTTCATTAACTGGCAGCAGCCTCCAAGGAGCACTGGGGTCCACAGTAAGACTGCCTGTGGGGGAAAAGGCATTTGGGAGCGGGCATCTGACTTGTAGCGAGAGGCCAGAGCTAGAAGCTGGAAGGTACAGGAGATCCAGAACGACTGAGGAAGGTCGCCCACCAGAGTGGCAAGGAGAAGCACACAGGAATGGTCCCTGGATGCTGGCTTATGCTGCTTGAGTGCAAATGATGTAGAGCAGTGTACTCTGGTCAGGTCCAGCTGGTCAGCTTTTATAGTGTCATCTGGGCGTGTGCTTCTTGGGCGTAGTCTGTCCTGTGGCTCAACGGATTGGTTACACCCTTGGGTGTGTATGGGTGTTTCCAGTTTGGATGGGTGTGTCTCCAAACTCCTGCTTCCTGTGTTGGCATGTCCTGAGGTTATCACATTTTGACATGAGTGAGTACATACCGTCCATGTTCATGTCATTTTCCTATAGAACTTTTTAGAAACTGCTAGTTCAAGGTTGCTGTGTACAGAATTCATTGGGGACCACTTCTCAGCTCAAGGGGACTGACCAGTCTTCCTTCCTATTGCTTGTTTTTGCTACTAAGGTCATGATATGTTTTCCAGGAACTATTTCTTTAATTAACTTATTTATGTGATTATTATGATTACTATTTTATTATTTTAACATTGATTTTAGCCTCTTTTATACTGCTATAACAGAAATCCTGAGTCTAGTAATTTATAAAGGATATTTGTTTCTCACAGTTCTGGAGGCTGGGAAGTCTAAGATTAATGTGCTGACATTTGTTCAGGCCTTCTTGCTGTGTCCTTACATGATGGAAGAGCAAGAGAGACTGAACCCCCTTACTCCTGCAAGCCTTTTTAATCTTGGCACTCACCTCCAGTTAGGCACCATCTCCCAACACTGCTGCATAGAAATTGAGCTTCCTCACAGGAGTTTGGAGGGGATAGAACATTTCAGTTTCAGCACCGGTTTTCTCTTCTGCTGCTGGAGGAAGGGGAGTCCCAGTTTCTCATCAATTCTTATAGTTTGCTACTTATTAATGACTCATAAATGACACAGTTGAACTTGGTAGCTTCATTTGATGAAGCAAAAATATACATTTCTTTATAGCATTTAGTTCTGTTGCTTTTTTTTTTTTTCTACTTTGTTAGCATACAGGTAAATGGGAAATGCTTATTTTTCTGAAAGAAGATAAGGGCTTTAGGCATATTTTAAATTTATTTTTTACTTTAATATAAATTGACTTCTCAGAAATGTTTCTCATCCAAATAGAAACATTTGGATGTTTTTATACTTTGGGTATGTACTTAAGTACCTGTACCTACTACATTCTTAAGGTATGCAACTTCTTACTGCATTGACTCAATTTTACTTAAGTACATGTAAATTATATGCCTTCTAGTACTTGAGTGTTCTGTTGAAAGTCTTGAATTTTTTCAAGCCTTTGGCAGCAGCTAAGATAGCTGTCCTCTTTCTTAGCATGGTACAACTCTTGGGTTTGTATCGTCTGTTCTGTCGTCTTTGTTCACATTGTTTTTACTCATTTTAAAAAATATGTTTCCAGAATTATACTTAATTGCTAGAAACGTTGATTTCTCTTGAGTGACAAACTAATTAAGTGTGTATGACACCAGGCAACAAAGACACTTAAGATTCTCTGCTTATCCTGTCTCTGAAAAAAAAATCCATTATTCATCATCTTTTTGTTTTTAAATACTGAGGTAAAATTTTCAGTACAATAGGAGAATTGCTTTGGAAGTGGAATAAATTGCTTGCCAGTTCAGAGGCTGCATTTCTGAAGTAGAGGTTACTCAACAAGATGCAGCTCACGTTCATAAGCATTCAGAACTCATCTCACCACGTTTCCAGCATTAAACCTGATAAGATTAAAACTTTTGCCAAAGTGAACATGACTGCTGAAAGAACTTAATAAAAAGACTAAAAATCTCATTTTGTATGTAATATATATTAAGTGGTGTTAATTTTAATTGCAGTTTGTATAAATATTCATTTAGTTGTATTTTTAAAAGAGCAGTAAGAAAAAGGGAGATTTTTAAGGGAAAATACAGTTTTAGGCATCGTCCCAACAAGGAGTGGTGCTTTTGGAGTCTCATGCCTAGAGACTGGGAATGCCTTGAATGTCCTGTATGCACAGGACAGCCCTCCACAACAAGACTTGTGTGGCCCCAAGTGCTCATAGTGCCCCTCTTGAAAACCCATTCAAGGCATTGCTGTAGCTTATGGCTATACTTCATTCATGTGGACTGTAGAACCAGCAACTCCTCCTTATGTCACTGTATTCATACTGAAAATTTAACCCCACTCTGATTATTTTTATTTTGAATAGTCATACATATGTTAAAGAATTTCCTGTTGCCCTTCCTTCATTACTGAAGTTTCAAATTTCCTTCTGATAGCATTTTTTTTCATCCTAAAACTTTTTTTTTTTGAACATTTTTTTTTTTAAATTTTATTCATATGTGCATACAAGGCTTGGGTCATTTCTCCCCCCTGCCCCCACCCCCTCCCTTTCCACCCACTCCGCCCCCTCCCTCTCCCGCCCACCCCCTCAATACCCAGCAGAAACTATTTTGCCCTTATTTCTAATTTTGTTGTAGAGAGAGTATCTAAAACTTTCTTTAGTGTTCTTTTAGGACAATTATTGATAACAAATTCTTAGTTTTTCTTTATCTGGAGTATCTTTGTTTTATTTCATATAGTATTCTGGGTTGACAGTTCTTTTTTTTTCCCCCCAGCACTTTAAACCTGTAGTTTCATCGTCCTTGGGCTCTCTTTATCTCCAAGAGAAGTATAGGCGTTTGAATGGATGTTCCTCTGTGTATAACTGGCTGTGTTGGTTTGGAATACTTCCTTACATGTCACCATTTTGTCATCTTTTTGATGGTTCTGGCTCCTTCTTGTTTGTCTTTTCTCTGTTGGTTCTGGCTGGTTCTGTTTGTCTTTTGTGTGGATTTTGGAGGATGCAAGGATAGGATTCAGCCTAAGTGACTACTGTTGCCCCATACAGTCCAGATGTCTGCTTTCTCATTTTTCAAATTGAGATGATACAGCCCACAAAGGCTGGATATAAAGTTAAATGATAACAGTTTTTGAACCACCATATAGTTTCTGGTAGATTGATTACTCTTGAAAAGATAAGTTTTTATTTTTTAAATATGGATTATGTTTTTGATTGAGGAAAGATAAAGAGACAGTGTCATGGTAGGCTGCTGTTCTTGGGGTTGCAAGAGGACTGTTGAGCTCCAGCAGAAATGGTGGTTATTGAGATTGTTTTTCACTGAATAGAGTTTTAGTAAAGGGAATAACAGGGAGAATAAACAGGACATAGCATCATTCTCTCTGTTTGTCAATATGTCAGCTCTTGATAATCAACCCAGGATGGTGTACAGACAACTTGTTTTGTCAAAAGTCACTTCTAAAACTCTGGTGACTGTAAAGTTGCATAACAGAATGTTTAGGCATTACTTGGAGGTATAAATTTTTGACTAATGGTACTATTTCAGATTTTTGTTTTTGTCTTACCAAATTGAATGCATGGAGTGATTGTTGGGCAGCCTTGGTTATGCTGTCACTGACCGTATACACCAGAGGCTGCTCTGAAATTGTGTTTATAGCACAAGTATTGTAGGCTTCTTCAGCTAACACAGGCTTGTTTGCACAACCTTTTTCTTACCTGTTTACCTTAGCTAATTGATTTTTTTTTTTGCAAAGGAAGGTAATACTACTATGCAGTATTATTTATAATGATTTGCCTCAGCTGAAAGTAACTTACTTTGAAAAAAGAAAAATGGGTAATTAGTAACATTAGACAGGTACTATTAGCCTAGATGAAACAGTACTGTAGCAAAGACTGCTTAGCTTGGTTCAGCTCTCTGTTCTCACTTTTAGGTACCAGCTGGAGGATGAGTCTGCCCATTTGGATGAAATGCCACTAATGATGTCTGAAGAAGGCTTTGAGAATGATGAAAGTGATTACCACACGTTACCACGAGCTAGGATAACACGAAAAAAAAGAGGACTGGAGTGGTTTGTCTGTGGTGGATGGAAGTTCCTCTGTACCAGGTTTGTCATCCATTGCTACTTGATTACTGCATGCAGGAAGGGTATTTATAAGCTTAGTTCCTATGTTTATTAGATGCATCAATATAAGTTGATATGAAAACTAAAGGAAACACTCTGTCACCATGGAGAGTGTTAATAACATTATTAAATCAGACAATGCTGATCTGAAAGGAAGGGGAAGTCAAATTCATTATCTTATGAGACATTTTAGTGTTAAAAGCTGGGAAAAATTAGTGATTTTGTTATTAATGTCTGGTAGAACTATTCCTGATCACTGTATCAATATTTACAAATGGTGTTCTTTTCTAATCCAAAACGGTAGACATGGACCTATAAAATATAATTTAGTAGTCAGGTGCCAGTGCCTCACGCCTGTAATCCTTGCTACTTAGGAGGCAGAGATCAGGAGAATTGTGGTTTGAGGCCAGCCCTGGCAAATAGTTCACAAGACCCCCATCTCAGAAAAATCCATCACAAAAAAGAGCTGGTGGGGTGGATCAAGGTGTAGGCCATGAGTTCAAACCCCAGAACCACACACACACACGCACACGCACAGGCATACACACTCTCTCACTCTCTCTCTAGTGAGAGAGGTAGAGACAGATGTATAGATATGTAAGTAATTTAGTTACCCTGTAATTGTATTATTTAGCTGTAATGTTTTAACTTAGAATAAGATTCTTCTGTTAGTTTAACCAAGATATCAAGATTAAGAACTCCTCATATTTCAAACCGGTTTCCTGGTCCTGAGATAAACTGGTGTGATTTGCCTTTGACTAGAGCTTTAGGTAGAAGCATGTAAGTCTCAGGCATCATGCTTTTGGGTCATCAACCCCTTCTCCCCAGGCAAGTAGAGATTACCACTGAGTGTTGCCCAGTTGTCATTCAAGGCTTACAGTCAATGTTTGTGTTGTCCTTACGATTTTATATCCTCTGTCCATAAAAGGAAGGCAAATACTTGTGGAAAAATACCTTGATCATCATCTTTTTCATTCTCTCTGTGGAAATTTGCACAAAGGTGTCACTGTAACTGATTTGATTTCTGGGTTAGCTCATGAGCTGGTGTTTGAACTATTCTGTGCAGTGGGAGGCATTTGGTAGAATTCCTCAGAAGTGGCATCTCAGAAAGGGGGTGAGGCTGAGCAATTTCAGGTCCATCATGCCTTGTTTAGCTTCAATCACAGTATAGCTATCCTCATCCTCTTTGTACATTGTAAGTTTCCATGTGAAGAAAGAATTTTATGCCCTACCAATTCTTTAAAAATTGCTTAATGATAAGTATCTATGGCTTATTGAAAAGTTTTTCTAGGTGAAATACCCAATATTCCAATAAACCTGGAGTGTTCTTTGTGGCCATACATTTACTTATAGCATTAATTTCTTTAACAGATCTAGGACCGAAGGTTTTTTTGCTGTGTTTTTCCTGTGTTCATTTTAATGATTTGTGCTTTTCAAGGGACTTAATAATCTTTAAATTTACGTTGGCGCGAAGTTATTTGTAATGTCTTCCTTTGATCTGTCTAATGTATGAGATCACTTCTTAAAAGGGATACCACCTTTAGAAAATCCTGGCAGCAGTAATTTCCATCTCTCTTTGTAAAAGTTAACGTTGAGCGTACCAGTTTTATTCTTCGCAGAGTCATAGTTCTGGCACTGTCCTTTCTCTTGTCTGTTTTTTTTTTCTTACTTTTAAATATTTGTTTTGAAATAAACTTACAGAAAGGTACGAGGATATTTTATAGACTCCCAAGTGCCTTTCCTCCAAGTCTCCCATGTTTAAACATTTTGTCACATTTGTTTTATTCTGTGTTTATTCTGTGTACTGTTATTTTTCTCTGTCATATCATTTACATCTTTGCTCTTCAGTATTCTTAAAAAGACATTTTCTTATGTAATTACAATCCAGTTATCAAATTCATGCAATTTAATATTGATACAATACTTTGTATATACTTGCAGTTTGTATTCAGTGCTGTGTGATTTCCCAATACTGCCCTCTGTGGTCTGTTTCTTCTAGGTGTGGTGGTCATGTGTTGCATGTAGGAGACATGCCTGTTTAGTCTCCTTTATTATCAACTAGTTGTTTAGTGTTTATCTTCATCCCTTGAAATTTCTGAACGATACAGGCAAGTTATTTTATAGAATATTTCAAATCTTGTTTTTTTCTGGTGTGTTTTCATCATTAGGTTCAGGCTAAGCATTCTTTGAAGAATGCTGTATGGGTGATGCATTGCTCTACTCCAAACTTCTTCTGAAGCTGTCTCCCCTCTCTCAGCCTTCATAGCATTGAAGAGAAATAGGGCTTCACTTATGTTGTGGCTGGTTTGATCTTCTCTCAGACAGTTAAAACTTTCTCCATGTCAGCAGTAGGCTGCTTTCACTATCTTACCATTCATGTGTGCATTGGAGTAACACTGTTAATTTCCTTCACGAACTTTTCATTTGCATTTACAACTTAGTTGCCTGCAATTTTTAAAGATGTCCCTCATCTAATCTTATTTCTAGATTTTTTTTGTTTTTGTTTTTGTTTTTTAAGAAATCTGTCTTGTGTTAAAAATAAAACAAAGTAAAGCATTGGCAAGATGACTGGTCTAATGTCATCAGTAGTCCTTTCTGATCAGGAGATGGGAATTTGAAAGTCCTTATCACTTTGCATTTTACTCGTAGTGTGCTCCTTTTCTTATGGAAAATCTCAAGAATATATTTGAAAATACAGATATTAGCAGCACACCCAGATTTGAAAAAGCTCAATAAAATATGCTCTATGTGTTTTCAAAGTAACTATCTTAATAAATCATGATCCTGTGGGAAAAGCTAGCTAAACTATCTTAGCCACTCTATTCAGTTGACAGGGCATTAATGAGTGTCCTGTTGCCATGTAGGATAGGGAGTAACCTGAGATATCCTCACACTCTCCTTGTACAGTAGTGTCTGCCACACAGAGAGATTGTTATGGAAATTAGAAACTGTACCTTAGCCAGATTGTACACTTAGCAACTAGCTTGTTCATTTTTCTTCATTGCTTATTAATTTTCAGTTTTGAATATTTATTTCCTAAATGCCACGCATTGTAAAATTGTTATTAGATGATGGTTCTAAGGGAAGACATTTAAATTAGTTTAATTGTAGAAAGAAAATGTTAGTGAATATTTAAAGTATTTGGTAACAAATATTAATGAGTTGTAAACACTCAATTTATTTCTATTTGTAGATCCTGTGAGTAGATAAGGCTTATTTTTAAGTTACTACTCTTAACTTCAGGCACTGAGTGAGCTCTAATTTCTTCATGATTTAGGACCTACTTTCTCATTTTTATCGTTTGGTAAATATTCCAGCTTGGAGATTTTGAAAAACTTTTTTGCAGTCTTTTAAAATGTTAAATTACTTTCACGTGAATGGATATGACTTCCTGTAAGTTTGTCGTGAGGTGCATTGATATTTGTAGTTTTCTGAAGTGGGTTGATGGCCTTTCTCACGAGATTTACATTTCACTTGTTATCAAAAATCACTTTGTCCCTAGGAAAGTGGAGCCAGCAGTGGCATTTCCATATGAAGGGAGGGGGTAGGGGATATCAAATGCTGGGATTATTCTTGGTTCTAAATGATCTCTGTACTTTCAATTAATCTGGATAACATTTGGGGTGCAGAAGCATGGGAAATGCTCATCTTTTAAGAAGACATGAGTGCTGTGTTGTTTTTGTCTTGATAACCAAAGGTACCTCTTACTAGATAAAATAATTGTCTAATTTTGGAGGTATGAGGGGAAGAAGCCTATCTATATTTGGGGAGTTACTTAATTATGACTAAAATCTTAGAAGATAGAATCTTGGTATGTATAAATGTCTTATTTAATATGGGAGTACTACTTTGATTGTAGAGGTTTTAGTGAAAAGATAATCCTAAAACATTTTAGAAAAAGTGTAATTTGTGCTTTGTTGTGTTTACTTAGTATTGAACTTCACAATGTATGCAATGTACATATAAGTGGGAAAGTGTTTTTCTGGATAATCCACAGTTTAGAAAGTACTTAGCATACATAGAAATGTTACTAAATAAAACTCAAGGCTTGTTTCCAAGGACTTCTCTTTGGTTCTCTCTGTTGTTTTTCAGTATTTTCTAATATTTTGCTTATGTTACTTTGCCCTCAAAAAATTCCCTGTAATTTAATTTTCCTCCTTAGCTCTATAATAAGGCTCACATACACTTCTTTTATTACAATACTTTTTTAAGCTTTGGAGTGTTTATACCCTTTTTCTTTTTTTTCTTGCTGTGCTGGGGATTGAGCTCAAGGCCTTATATGTTGTTCCCAAACCCTCTGTCACTGAGCTATGTCCCTCTCCCTTGTGCCTTTACTGTTAGCCATGGAGTCACTTGTGTCCCCTCTGATAGCATGCTTACTGCATTGTCCAGTGGCAATTCTTGGAGAACCCCAGGCTCTTCAAACCTCAGCAAATGCATTCATTAGTTCTGTGAAGTAGCATGTGACTTGACATTGGTTCCCCCACCACTACTTGGTTCTGTTTATACATGATAGGATAATTAATAACACCGATTATTCATTAATAGGTGTTACAAACAGTGACAAAGTGGCATAAATAGTGGTGTAATTCTAACTGGAAGTCTCGGAATCTTAGATTTATCTATACAGGGTTAGAGAGAAGAAAGGAATGAAATGGTGAATATATGTGTTTTTATTTTTATTACTGTATTCTTTTTGGGGGGTTTGTACTCAGGGCCTTTTACTTGCTAGGTAGGTGCTCCACCAGTTGAGTCATGTCCCCAGCCCTTTTTGGCTGTAGTTATTTTTTAGATAGGGTCTTGTGTTTTTTCTACCCTGCACTGTAGTCCTTCTGTCTATGCCTCCAGCTTAGCTGGGACCACAGGTGTGTGCCACCATGCTCAGCTTTTGGTTGAGATGGAGTCTTACTGTTTGCCTGGACTGGCCTTGAATCACAATCCTCCTTTTCTCCCCCTGCTAAGTAGCTGGGATTATAGGCATGTGCCACTATGCCAGGCCTAAATATGTGTATTTTAAGCATTGGTACTTAGTGTTTATGTAGTGAGACTAATGCCAGCAAGGCTGGTTCTGTAGTTGCTGACAGACGTGCCCATGTGAGGGTTTTTGTTTCAGCTGTGTGTACAGTGCTTGTGTGATGTAGTGGTTTTGCATGTTCAGTGTCTGTCTGTAGAATATTTTGATGTCAGATACAGGAATTTAATAATCTTTATATGCATTTTTCACATACCTAGCTTTGGGTATCCTCACCTTTGTCTTGGATCCGTCTGACTTTTGCTCATTTATGTAGCAGGTTAGATAACTATGTGCTGCAGAATGGAATCTTGTGTCTGAACACATCCCTAAGGAATTGTGGCTGCATTTGAAATGCTGAAGAGAAGTGTGCATGTATGTGGCTCACGGCACCTGCTTGCCATGTGGTTTACATGTCCCAGCATTCACTGTCATGATTGGAATGTCCAATGGAACCACTAAGCTGAGGTGGCCATTGAGCCCTCGAAATGTGGCTAGTGTATCTGAGGTGGCCATTGAAATGTGGCTAGTGTAGTGTAGTGTAGCTTCTCAGTTTTAACTCAAGTTAAAATGGCCACAGGATTCTGTATTGGACAGTGCAGGTCTGGGTCTCTCTGTGCCGGTTAAGGTTCAAGATGGTAGTTGTGCATGGGATATTGGGAAGCAGCAAGTAATGGCAGAGCTTCTGGAAGGCCTGGTGTTGAGGTACTTCAAAGAAGAGAAAACAGAGACTTTGACTGTGCTTCCCAAGGATCAGTTGCTCCAGTTGTCTCCAAAAACATGACTTTAAAGTCCATGTTTTTTTCCATGGAGTTTTGTTGCCTTGTCATTAATTGCTCATTTATTTTCATCGTCTGTTGGATGGCTACTGTGTCTTGGACTTGGCTAAGTAAAGACAGTCTGCAAACACAGTGAAGCATTGGCCTCTGACTAGTATTTACAGAGTCAGATGAATATCATATTGATGTGGGGGCTGAGATCCAGGCTCTGTCTTCAGCTCTGCCAGGTGTTTCATCTTGGAAAAGTCACTTACCTTGCTGGCCTCCAGCTTTCTCTGTAAAATGTGGGAATTTGGCATCTAAAGAGTGAAGTTGCATCTATAATTTAAGGAGGAATCCCCTCACAGCTTGTGTAACATAACCATAGGATTTTTCTAACAGTAGGAACCCATGTTGTAGCGTGATAGAAGATTGGTGATTTGGAGCTGCTATTGGGAAGACCTAGGGAGGAAGTGCTTTTCAGCACTCAACCCTGGGGTTGTGAATTCAGGCTGGAGGAGACCATTGAGCAGTTAGAGTCTGCCTGGGGACAGAAAGGTGGGCTGGGGCAGGAGGGGAAAAGCCCTTGTTAGTGAATTGGGGCTTCAAGGTGAAAACAACAGTATGGGGGGCAATAATCATTTGAAGCTTATTGTGTGTACTTGAAGCCTTATTTTTTGTTTCATTCAAGCATAAACAATATCAAATATTGCCAAAATTTTATTGAAATCAACTGGACCCATCTCTTTTTCTCCTCCACTAAAAATGGTAATGGTGAAAATTCTTATTTTTACAGTCTTGAATCACTTTAATAATACCCTGTTTTATGACTGTTGGAGGTTTGGAGGTCTGCTGTCAAAGCGGAGATGTTTGGATTTGTTGTTTAAAAAGTGGTGGATAGTGCAATGAGATTTGTTAGGTCTGTCTTTGTTCCCATTGAAGCTAGGAGCAACGGATAGTTGGGGGAGAGAAGAGGGTGTGGTGGGGCCGACCCACTTGGCTGTGGCTCGGCATGACTTCAGCCCTGTTGCAGGAAAGCTCAAGGTAGCAGAGCGGACAGTCCTGCAGGAATGTTATGTGCCCACACTGAGAGTGACAGGTTCCCAAAGAGCCACCCTCTATCCATCCAGAGGGAAGATCTGAACAAAGCCAAAAATTGTTGAATATTCAGTAGGGATGGTACTGATTTCACTTCATGCACATACACATGTTTCTCATGGAATGCTAGCTGCGTGGAGCATTTATAAAGTAATGTGTATTGAGTTTTTACTGTTTGTGAAGTGTTTTCAGAAGAATGGTGTTGGTGACATTGGAGCAGAGGGATAGTACCAGTGTGGAAACACACATTGATCCTGAGATATAAGTCCCTGTATATGCCAACTTTGTTGTGTAATCATGCCCTTACATTGTCATTTTCATACAAAATTTGACATTAACTTTTAAAAGTCACTGAAGTGAAGGTAAGAATTTTACACAGCTGGCCTGTGCTTCTACCCTTCTTAATAAGCCATTCTGAGTCTTCATATACATTTTGAAATTTGAGTTAATCCATCAATTTAATAATGTAGTTTAAACTCATAATTGTTTTGTGCTTAGTGTAGAGATGAATTGGATACCTTTTTGTCATTTTGAGTTTTATTTATTTGTTTTTTTGTCAATATTGGAGTTGGCACTCAGGGCCTCACCCTTACTAGGCAAGCACTCTACTACTTGAGAACTTCCCCAGCCCTTTTAGAAAAGTTACTCCATTATCTCTCCTACTAGACAATGGTTGGGATGTCTAGGAGGGAAAGAGTTCATGCTGCTGGAACCTTGGCTCTGTTGGAACAAGGTAACTTTAGAATGACATTGTGTAATTGCATGGATGAAGATAGCTATGAGGAAATGCAACCAAGCTTTTATCATTAGACTGTCACATTATGCAGTTGGTATCCTTTGTAAATATTGAATTGAGTCTTAATTTTTTTGGTTAATGTTACTGGAAAAGTCACTTTTTAAGAATGGGAAAGAATGATTATTTCAGAGAAGGGAAAGAGAGACACACCCTGGATTAACTGATATCTTACGATCTTTATCAAAGAATCACTGACTGGTATATTTAGAACCCGCAGCTATTTATTTCTCAACATAAAGAGCACTGACTGCTGCAGAATATTAATGGTTTTATTTTACCAATAAGATTATCAAACAGGGATGTTAATTCTCTGGGGTTCTTGAAGCCATTGCACATTTAAACAAGACTCTTTCACTAATTTATTGTTACATTTAAATCTGTATAGCCAACCTATCTTAAGAAAAACATCACAGATTAGAATTAGATGGGCTATTAGTGTCTAATAAATACCGAAACAATCAGTACTGGCTCTAAATGTATAGAATTAGTTTAAACTTTTTGTTCTTCAGAACATATACAACATGCATCTTTTGTTTTATGCAGTTGCTGTGATTGGCTGATAAATATTTGTCAAAGAAAGAAAGAACTGAAAGCTCGCACAGTATGGCTTGGCTGTCCTGAGAAGTGTGAAGAAAAACATCCCAGGAATGCTATAAAAAATCAAAAATACAATGTATTTACCTTTATACCTGGGGTAAGACTATTGCGTTCTTAAGAATAGTTATATGTTAGATCCTCCTAGCTTCTTTTGTTTTGTGAAGACACCTGTGGTGACTGTGGTATGGTTTGGTTAGTTCTGTGTCCATCTTCCTGATTTGCACGTTCCTGTTTCAAATGAGTGCTAAATAATTCATTTCCTTTGTGTGTGTGTTCTATTGGTGTTTCAACTCAGAGCCTTGTGCTGGCTAGACAAGTGTTCTACCTCTTGAGCGATGTATCGGGCCCTTTTTGCTTTAGGTTAATTTTCAGATGGGTCCAGCACTTTTTTGGGGGGTAAGGCAAGGGAGTTGCAATCTTCCTAAGGTGCATACCAGCTTGTCCAGTTTGTTTTGTTGAGGTGAAGGGTGTCTCACTCCTCAAACCACATCCTCCTGATCGCCCCCTCCTAAGTAGAAGAGAATGTATAATTCAGTTATTGCCTTCAGTTCTTGATAACTTTCATTTTATATTATGTAGAAATGTAAATCACATGTATAAAAATAACAAAGAAAAACTAAATGAAGGGATCAAAAGTAAGCCATAAATTTTGGGGGCTAGGAATTTGAAAGTAAAAGTGTGATGTAACATTTAAAGCTTGTGAGGAGTTTCACAGTAAAATTTTTTTATACAAAGATGACACTAATAAAATATTTATACATATATGGATGTGTTTCCTATTTGACATTATAAATTATAGGCCTTATTATATTGTTGTCATTAGTTGTCTTTAATAAAGTATCATGCTAAATTTAAATGTTATTTCTTTTTTGTTAGTGGTATTTCTGAATTAAATTATAAAACTGAGTTTATATGAGATTAGAATAGTGAAATAGTTTTTTGTTTTTCATATACATTTCCTATTTTAATAGATTTATTTATCTTTCTGAAGCAAAGGAAGCTGGTCTGATTATATATATTTTTATTTATAAGATTTTGTTTTCTTTCTAAAACTTGATCTGTTGAGGAAGAGTTCAGCCATCTTATATCTGATTATATTTCTGTATCAAAACTTTTGGCACCTTCTAACTCTTATTGGCTCTTTGGTTTAGTAAGAAAAGCTCTTGATTATAAAAGTGAGAGCACACAAGGGAGATATGAAGATAGTTAAGACACCTAAAAAATTAGTTAGCATTTGTTGCCCTCAACGCAGAAAAACTAAAGCAGATACCTTAAAAGCAACTGAGGCCAATAGGAGAAGGGGACCAAGAACTGGAGAAAAGGTTAGATCAAGAAGAATTAACCTAGAAGGTAACACACACGCACAGGAAATCAAATCAATGTGAGTCAACTCTCTGTATAGCTATCCTTATCTCAACTAGCAGAAACCCTTGATCCTTCTTATTATTGCTTATACTCACTCTTCGACAAAATTAGAGATAAGGGCAAAATAGTTTCTGCCAGGTATCGAGGGGTGGGGAAAAGAGGAGGGAGGGTGTGGGTAAGGAGGGGTGGGGAGGGGGAGAAATGACCCAAGCATTGTATGCACATATGAATAAGAAAAAAATAAAAAAGCTTCTAGATACAAGGAAAACTAAACTCCTGAAGAAAGAGATTGAGGAAGACTATAGAAAGTGGAGAGATCTCCCATGTTCATGGATTGGTAGAATCAACATAGTAAAAATGTCTATACTCCCAAAAGTAATCTACGTGTTTAATGCAATTCCCATCAAAATTCCAATGACATTCATCAAAGAGATTGAAAAATCAACCGTTAAATTTATATGGAAACACAAGAGGCCACGAATAGCCAAGGCAATACTCAGTCAAAAGAACAACGCTGGAGGTATCACGATACCTGACTTCAAACTATATTACAAAGCAATAACAATAAAAACAGCATGGTACTGGCACAAAAACAGACATGAAGGCCAGTGGAACAGAATAGAGGACCCAGATATGAAGCCACACAACTATAACCAACTTGTCTTTGACAAAGGCACTAAAAATATATGATGGAAAAAGACACCTCTTCAACAAAAAACTGCTGGGAAAACTGGTTAGCAGTCTGCAAAAAACTGAAACTAGATCCATGTATATCACCCTATACCAATATTAACTCAAAATGGATCAAGGATCTTAATATCAGACCACAAAGTCTAAATTGATACAGGAAAGAGTAGGAAATACTCTGGAGTAGTAGGTATAGTAAGAACTTTCCCAACGAAACCCAGCAGCACAGCAACTAAGAGATAGCATAGATAAATGGGACTCATAAAACTAAAAAGCTTCTGCTCATCAGAAGAAATGGTCTCTAAACTGAAAGAGAACACCACAGAGTGGGAGAAAATATTTGCCAGCTACACATCAGACAAAGGACTGATAACCAGAATATACAGGGAACTTAAAAAACTAAATTCTCCCAAAATTAATGAACCAATAAAGAAATGGGCAAGTGAATTAGACAGAACTTTCTCAAAAGAAGAAATTCAAATGGCCAAAACACATGAAAAAAATGCTCACCATCTCTAGCAATAAAAAAATGCAATTAAAACCACACTAAGATTCCACCTCACCCCTGTTAGAATAGCCATCAGCAGCAACACTGCCAACAACAGGTGTTGGCGAGGGTGCGGGGAAAAAGGAACCCTCTTACACTGCTGGTGGGAATGTAAACTAGTACAACCACTCTGGAAAAAAATTTGGAGGCTACTTAAAAAGCTAAACATTGATCTATCATATGATCCAGCAATCCCACTCTTGGGGATATACCCCAAAGACTGTGACACAGGTTACTCCAGAGGCACCTGCACACCCATGTTTATTGCGGCACTATTCACAATAGCCAAGTTATGGAAACAGCCAAGATGCCCCAGCACTGACGAATGGATTAAGAAAAGTGGTATCTATACACATGGAATTTTATGCAGCCATGAAGAAGAACGAAATGTTATCATTCGCTGGTAAATGGATGGAATTGGAGAACATCATTCTGAGTGAGGTTAGCCTGGCCCAAAAGACCAAAAATTGTATGTTCTCCCTCATATGTGGACATCAGATCAAGGGAAAACAAGGTGATTGGACTTTGATCACAAGATAAAAGCGAGAGCACACAAGGGAGATAAGAGGATGGGTAAGATGACCCAAACATTGTATGCACGTATGAATAAAATAAATAAATAAAAAAATAAAAGAAAAGCTCTTGATTATATGGAATGATGGCTGCTTTATCTTGTGTGTTTAGATTTAAATAATCATGCTGACTTTGTGTTGCACATTGACTATATCCCTCCCTGCCCAGTCTCCTGGTTGGCGAATGCTTGATGTCTATGTGTTTCTTCATTAAGACACACAAATATAATAACTCCACAATCAAACAAGTGATCTTTTGTTAGGACAAAAAATGTAAGCTGTCTTTCAGGCAGATTAATATTTTCATCTTTATCAAATGAAGCCACTGTTTTTTCCTTAGGTTTGCATGATTAAATGCTCACATTTGCCAAGTAGCATACATTCCTTAGAGGTCACCAAGTTCATTCAGTGAGTGTTGATTACAGAGGCTTAGGGCCAGTGTAGTACAGCTTAGTTTTGATCAGTATAAATTCACACAGCCTGCTGAGGCATCCTGAGAACACCTGTTGATGTGTCTACACAGTAGTTACAGGGTACTTCATTTTTTCTTAGCATGTCTCTGAAATTAGTCTTTTCATCTAAAATGTAGTATTTTAGAAACATTTGGTAATTACATGGTAGGAATTCTGTGCCATTTTTAGCATGAATGGCAATTTCAGAATTGCTAATAGATATAATTTATGCTAACTGAGATTTTAAAGAAATTGCTGAGGAGAAAGCTTTCCTCTTTCCTGCTGAGAGTGATTTATGAAATAATTCAAAACAGTTTTAGAGAGCAGTTGAATGTAAATGTATTGCCAGTATAACTGAGTTTTTAGTCACACAAATAACTGTATGATGTACAAATGACTTCATCACGTACAAACTGTGGTTCCAGCTCTTTAAACCAATGGTAAGAACTTAACCCATCACTCTGCTCTTTTTGAAATTGCCATGCCTTCCTCCTTGCACAAGAAGTGGCAGTCAGGGAGATTTTGATTGGCAAGTTGGATGTATGCAAGTTTAAAATTAGAGTGTGCCATTTGAATTATTCTTTTCTGTTGGTGGGTCTGGGGTTTGAACTCAGGACCTCACCCTTGCAAAGCAGGCACTCTACCATTGAGCCATGCCTCCAGCCCATTTTGCTCTGGTTATTTTAGAAGTGAGGGGGGTCTCCCAAACTATTTGCCTGGGCTGGTAGCAATTCTACTGATCTCAGCCTCCAAAGCAGCTAGGATTATAGGTGTGAGCTATTGATGCCTAGCTCCAGTTTCCTCTTAGTCATAATTATAGTGTGCTATTTGAATTGTTGCTATTTTAATTATTCTTTCTTAAAGATGACTCCATTTGGGGCTGGGATGTAGCTCGGTGGTACAGCACTTGCCTAGCATGCGTGAGGCCCTGGGTTCGATCCCAGCACCAAAAAAGAAAAGACAAAAAAAAAAAAAAAAAAAGATGACTCCATTTGAATTACAGTATTGGTATTTCTAAAATTTTATTGAATGATGAAACTTATTTCATACTTCAGAGTAGTGTTAAGTATCAACTACCAAAAGACTGTGGACTAGAAGCTGCTTTTCTTCCTGAAAACTGAGCTGTTATTTACATATTTCTGTGTTAATCGTTTTGTCTTAAGAGAGACATATATAGTTGGCTATCATGCAGTCATGCCTGTTTTTGCTTGTTTATTCAGTCTTTGTGAAGCTCAGATGTCCATACCATGCTATTTTATTTATTTTTACCATTTCATAAATTGAAGGTTAATTTGACTTTTCCTTTGTAAGAGTTCTTGAGTTGGTATCCAGACATACATTTGTATACTTAATGACTTGCTGAAATTTGAAAGTCTTTGTTATCATTGGCTTTCATGTGCACATGAAGGTTTTAGATGAATGTGAAAAGCCAAAAAACTGCCTTTTTTTCCAGTTTGTTTTAAATATAACTTGGGAGGTGATCCTAGCTTTCTGTGTATGTGAGGAAGCTTTGGATAGCCAGTGTCAAATTAATACATTTACTGTGCATTAGTTAAATCTCACTGTTTGATGAAAATGTGGTTGTATATTGTGCTGATCTAATTATGTAATTGAGGTATTAAAATCTCCCTTTAAAGGACTGTGTTAATTTTTTTTCTTTTCCTTTTTAGGTTTTGTATGAGCAATTCAAGTTTTTCTTGAATCTCTATTTTCTGGTAGTATCCTGCTCACAGTTTGTACCAGCATTGAAGATAGGCTACCTCTACACCTACTGGGCTCCTCTGGTAAAAGAAAAGATTTTTAAAATTAAGCTAAATTACTAAATATTTACCATATAGTGTTAAGAGTAGAGATAATTAAAAGATAAATTGACCAGATTTTAAAAAGATGATTCTGCTGCCTGTTACTGAACTTTGTTAAGAGGGCACTCAGTCCTGTGATTTAATCCCTTTCAGGAGGTGTATTGATAGTACACTACCTGCAGAGCTGCTGGGTTCTGTCAGTCCTTTCATTTCCCCTCACTTGGAGAAGTTATGAAGTGTCCTGGCTGGGACTTTCTTTCTTTTTTTTTAATTGCTGTGCTGGGTGGGAATACATTGTGGCATTTACAGAAAGTTTTACAATATACCAAATATATCATAGTTGAATTCACCACCTCCACCATTCTCCTTTATCCCCCTTCCCCCTATTCCTGGAATAGTTTCAACAGGTCTTATTTTTCTATTTACATAAATTCGTACCCAGCATTTGCATCGTATTCATCCTCTCACACCCTTTATCCACCTCCTCCCTCCTTCCACTGGTGCCAACACCTCCAGGCAGGACCTGTTCTGTCCTCCTGTTTTCCGATTTTGCACAAGGAAAAAAAATTACATTTTTCTTTTTTAAAGTAGCTACACGGGAGTTTCCTTGTGACATTTTCCATGTCTGTATGTATTATAACCTGAATTGGTTCATTTCTTCTATTTTTCTTCTTTCTGTCTTAGTCCCCTTCTGGCGAGTTCAACAGATTTAAAAATTCTATATTCATTCTTTGTATATATGGAGAGTATATCAACTATATTCACCTTCTTGATTTCCTTCTTTTACCCTCCCCCTCTTGTATGTGACCTCCTCTTAGCATGACCTGTTTTTTGTAATACTGCTGTATCTGTTTTAGGTCTGTATTCCACACGTGAGAGAAAACATGCGGCTTTTGGTCTTCTGAGCCTGGCTAACTTCACTTAAGATGATGTGTTCCAGTTCTATCCATGCACTGCAAACAACCTAATTTCATTCTTGTTTGTGGCTGCATAAAATTCCATTATATATAAATACCACATTTTCTTAATCCATTCATCAGTAGTGGGTTATCTTAGCTATTTCCATAGCTTAGCTATTGTGAATGTTGCTGCAGTAAACATGGGGTATGCAGGTGCCTTTATGGTAACCTGACTTAGATTCCTTTGGGTATATCCCTAGGAATGGCATTGCTGGATCATATGGCAATTCTATTTTTTGAGAAACCTCCATAGTGTTTTCCATAGTGGTTGTATTAATTTACATTCTGTCTGGGATCTTCTGCACCTGTCCTAAGGGTAGCAGGTCTGTCTGTCTGCCTGGCCTTATTCCCTCTTGTGCCCATGTGGCTGGGAATGATGCTGGGAGGCAGTGGGGAGTTGGCATTGATACTCAACTGACAGTGAAAGTTCTGAAGTATTTGACTGCAGTACAGACAATGTCTGGCTCATAGATCAGTGTAAAAGTTTTTTGAACAGCTGATGATATTTATCATCGAATGTCTTCATTTCAAACATACATTGTCATGACAGTTTCATTAATTTTCAGCTTGCATAGGCAATAGAAAAATGTTCTGCTTTCTTTTTTGTTGTTCAGTTTTGAATAGATGAGCAGAGGAGTCTGGACAGACAACATAGCAGGTGAAGTAATTCCCTCTGTGGAAGAGGAATGCAGTGCTTAGGTGTACCATGTGTGACCTTCAGAGTTGGAGGTCTTGGTGGTCTACTCTTGAGTGAACTGTGCTGGCTTGTGTAGGCCTGTCCCCCAACTGGAGACTTGTCCTAGTGAAGCAGGAGAGCTGGAGAGGGTGGCAGAACTCTTGTTATAGGACAGGTCCACTGCTCACTCTTAGTTAGGTCATCTTGAGGTGCTCTTGGTGACTTTTCTGTTTACATAGACTTGATAGTAGGGTGGATCTGAGGAATGAAAATAACTTTAGGTGGAATATAAGTACAAAATTACTGGACAAATGAATACATTTTTCTAGTATTAAGTTAGTGAGGTTGAAAGAGACATTGGTGATGAGTATAGGTAAAAATGTGCTGCTCTGGCATTCATCCTTGTCAGTGTAAATGTATGTGCCACCCTTTGGGAGGGTTGTTTGCTAATCTCCCCTTCTCTCTCTCTCTCTCTCTCTGTGTATGTATATATAAAACTTTGAAAATGGGTTCAACATTTTTATGATCTTATCACAAAATCAAAAACTATCCTTTTTTTAATTCATTTATTCATATGTTCATACACTGGTCCATTTCTACCCCCCTGTCCCCCCATCCTCCCCTCTTCCCCGCTTCCATTATTTTTGATGATGAAAATTATTTAAGTACTTCACTGTCTAACAATGGATTGTTTAAACTGTGTTCTATCCTAAGCACATTTCAGAGTACTATGTAACTTTAAGAAGGTTTACAGAAAATATTTAATAGCATTAAAGATAGGTGTATCAAGTAAAATTTAGACTATGTATAGGATGAAATGCATAGTTCTTTTGGTCAGCTGATACTGAGTTCCTTTGTGTCCAGTACTATTCTTGGCAATGTTGATATAACAGTGAACAAGACAGACAAGATCTTGTTCTCACAGAATTTGAATTCTGAGGAAAAGACAATGCACAGACAGATTCATGATGCCAGGCAGGCAGCCATGGCAGCAAAGAAGAAAACCTAAAGCAGGATACAGGATGGAGAAAGATGGAGGTGCTTTAGATGGGGTAGTCACGGAAAGCCTCTTGAATGGGTACCATTTGAATGACAAGACAGTCAGCTGCATATAGAACAGGGAACGAGTACTTTAGACAGAGGTAATAGTAGTTGTTAGGTTTGGTATACTCCAGGGTGTGAGCAAGTTGTTTTGCTGGGTAGTGTGGCTGAGGGGACAGTGATTGGAAAGGATGTCAGGAGTAAGGGGTCAGATCACCTCAGATTTTGCCCTGGATGAATTTGAAGTGGTGTTTGTGTATATATATTGCATGTATTCCCATGAGAACATGCTAAAGAGTATACAGTAGAGTTGAAATACAGTTGTTCCAGCTAAATGACTGTGATAGTTAATCTTGTCATCTTGATTGGATTGAGAAGCACCTGGGAAGTTATTAAAGCACGTGTCTGTGAGGTCATGTCCAGAGGAGATTAGATCATGAGGGTTCTGACCTAAAGAATGCTTTAATCCATGAATGGATCCAAAATTTGGATAGACTATTGGGAGGTGTGGGAACTATGGAAGGCAGAGCCAGGTCGGAAGAAGTACGCCTCTGAGGTTTGTCATTGGAGGATATCTATTTCCCTGGCCCCTTCTTGTATTCCCTTTCTCTGCTTTCTGGCCACCATGAGGTGAACTGCTCCCACCATAATGGACTGAAACCTCTGAAACTATCAACTAAAGTAAACCCTTTCTTGCTTGAGTTGTTTCCATCAGATATTTGGACATAGCGAGGCAAAAGTAAGTACTACAGTGGCCATGGAAAGGGATGTAGGTGACTGTTTCTCCCGCCCCCGTTCCATCCCGTTAGAAGTAAACTGTGTTATGAGATTGTGTTTTGTATATTTCACTGACTTTTGTCACTTACACATGCATCATTGAAACAGTAGGCACTGCTATCTTGCATGATTTGAAGGGTTTTTTTGAAGCTTTTCATAAAATACTCTGTATTCTATTGCAACATGTTTTTTGGCTTAACATTTGTTATGAGATTGGTTCATGTTGATGTCTATCTACTTCATCTTCCACTTTGCTAGATTGTTCTGTTATCTGAATATATCATAAGGGAGTGATTTGGCCATTCTCTTGGGAAAGGAGACTTATAGATTGTTTCAAATTTTTTGTTATTACAGCTTATGTTGTAATTGGTAACTTGATTATTCATAATTTCTTAGTACATGTGCACAATTTTCTATATGCTACATACTTCCTAGAAGTCTTATTTAAAATGTTTTTACCATTTTCTAATAAAGGGGAGTATAGCATAACAAATTCTAAAACAAAAAACTACCATGTTTATGATTTTAATCTTTATTTCTTGCCTCTTTTTACAATTCATAGCTTTACACAGTTGCGTTTACCATTTAAGTATTGCATCTTGGATTAAAAGTTATTTTAACTTTGATAGTCTGAAAACATAAGTAAGAATCTAAAGCAAAGTATATTCACGTGTACTTTGCCTTTGCTTTTTGTCCTTATTATTAACTCTGATTTAACTGCTTTAAAATTTTTATTAACATATAACAGTTGTACAGGGGTATACATTGTGATATTTACATATGTGGTTACATTATGTTTTAATTAGATCACCCAGCTTTCCCTCTTCCCACATCCCCTCCTTCTTTGAGCAATTTCATCAGGTTTCATTCTTCTATTTTTATATATGAATACAAAACACGTCCAACATATTGACCCTCATTCACCCACCAGTCCCTGCCCCTGGAAAAGACCTTTAATTAGCTTTTAACCAAATAAATTCCCTTTGGCTAGGTTAAGAACAATTTTTGTTTGATCTGTTCACAGAATTGATAATCTTAACCATACCTACAACGTCACACACACAATCCACCAAAACTACATTTGTGTACTTTCTCTTGTTTTCCTAAGAACACTCATTTCCAGTTCCAGTCACAAATTTAAGTCCTTTAGCTTGAATTTGCAGACACAGGTTTTCAACATGTAAGAATTAACTTTAATTGTACTTAGATAAGTACTTCAATAAGAAACTACTTCAATATTTATATAAGAGATACTGTTCTTGCTACAAAGAGAAGTGAAAAGCCCCCCTTTTCCCTTTGGGTACTGCTTAATGTGCCTTCTGATAGATGCGGATGAGTTCTCTTAATTTAAAGAGTATTATAATGTTAGAACTCAGATCCACCTTTTTTTTATTTTTCAGAAAGCATCCTTTTTTCTTTTTTTTTTTTTTTTTTTGTACTGGGATTTGAACTTACGGCCTCAAGCTTGCCAGGAAGGCGCTCTCCCACCTGAGCCACCTCACCAACCCATGGTCTACTTTTTAAGACTTTTTGTTGTTGCTGTCCCTTGGTTTGGCAGTAGCTACAGTTGACTCCTTTTTCAGATAATAAGGAGGACTCTTGTTTTGGCAACAGTCTTAAAGAGTTGGTGAACATTAGCTCACCTTCAAATCCAAGAAGCAGACTTCGACCCAAACTCACCTCAGAAAAACATTTAAAACTTTGAAAATCCACAGACATTCACTATAGATATTTTTAAACTTACTAGTCCTAAAGAAACTTCTTTACAGGAAACTGAAAGAATGTATATTCTAAAATTCATATGGGTGTCTCTTCTTTAATCAGAGAAAATGTTCTTCAGCAGGGATTTTCTTCTTTTTTTCCTGTGCTGGGACTGATACCCAGGGTCTTGTGCATGCTGGGCAAGTGCTGTGTCACTGATCTCCATTCCCAGCCTTTAGGGCTTTCTTCATAAACTCTTGCATTCTTGTTCTTTCTATTCAGTTTATTTTAACCTCGTGTCCAAATTGATCTATAGATCCGATTCAATCCTATCAGGGTCACACCTCCCTCTCTCCCTCCCTCCCTCTGCAGAAATTAATAAGCTGAGTCAAAAATTGCCATGAAAATGCAAGGGAGCCAGAGTAGCTTGTATGTCCTAGAAAAAGTTGATCAGAGTTGGGGGATTCATATTTTCCCATTTGAAATCTGTGATAATTAGACAGTGTGGTACTAATGTAAAGCTAGGTTTACAGAGTAGTAGAATACAATTGGAGGATCAAAAATAAACCTTTGCCTCTGTGACAAGTTGATTTTCAACAAGGATACCAAGGTAGTTTGATGGAGAAAGAATAGTCTTTTCAAGAAATGGTGTTGGAACAACTAGATATCCATAAGTGCAAGAATGAAGTTGGATTCCTACCTCACATTGAACATAAAAAGTAACTTAAAATGGGCCATAGACCAAAATGTAAGAGCTAAAACTATTAAGATTCCTAAAGGTAAACAGAGAGGCAGATCTTTGTGACCTTGGATACCAAAAGCCCAAGTACAAAGAAAAAATAGGTAAATTGAATTTTGTCAAAATTTAAAACATTTGCACATCAGAGGGCACCATTAAGAAAACAAAAAGAGCTGGGTGCCAGTGGCTTATACCTATAATTCTAGCTACTTGAGAGGCTGAGGTTAGGAGGATTGTGGTTCAAGGCCAGCCTGGTCAAATAGTTCCTGAGACCCCATCTCCAAAATAACCAAAGCAAAATGGATTGGGAGGTATGGCTCAAATGGTAGAGCCCGTGCTTTATAAGCTTGAAGCACCGAGTTCAAATCCCAGGCCTACCAAAAAAAAAAAAGAAAGTAAAATGAGGGCCAGTGTGGTGGCCCATGCCTGTCATCCCAGCAGCTCAGGAGACTGAGATCAGGAGGATTGTGGTTGGAGACTAGCCCAGGTACAAAGTTAGTGAGTCCCCATCTCAATCAATAAGCCAGGCGAGTGCCTGGGAGGCCTTGGGTAGGAGGATCGAGGTGTGAGGCTACCCTTGGGCAAAAACATAAAACCCTACCTGAAAAATAACTAAAGCAAAAAAAGGACTGGGAGTGTGGCTGAAGTGGTAAAACTCCTGCCTAGCAAGTGAAAGGCCCTGAGTTCAAACTTCAATACTCTCAAAAAAATAAAAAAGTAATATGATAACCCAGAATGAGAGAAAATACACAGTCATATTTGTAAGTTACGTGTCTAACAAGGTATTTATATCCATATTATGTAATTTAATTCTCTTACATCTCAACAAGTAAGAGAAAACTCAGTGGAAAAGGATGTGAATAGACACTTACCCAAAGAAAATACTGAGATGGCCTCTGCGAACTTAAGATGCTCCAGGTCATTAGGTAGTGCAAACCAAACTCACGGTCTGGAGTCACACTTAGCAGTGTAGTTGTCATCAAAAAGGCAGAGGCACAGGTGTTCCTGAGAGGGTTTCAGGTGAAGTCGGAACCCTGATTCTCAGCTGGTGAGATTAGAGTGTGGTAATTTTAAATATAGAGTTAATATGCCACCCAGAATAGGCAAATCTACAGAGCAGGGAGTAGATAATTGCTGCCAAGGACGGGGTTGGGGTGGGTGTGGGTGAGCGAATGAGATGTACGTGACTGCTAATGAGCAAACTAATTTCTTCTAGTGATAAAAATACTCTTAAAACTACGATGTAGTGATGGTTGCATGGTTTTATAAACATACTAGAAAACAAATTGTGTTCTTGAAAGAAGTTGCTTTTATGACGTGAAATATATATATGTTAAGGGACCTAGGTGAGGGCCATAGTCTGCCCTCAGTAGTGTGTTCTGGGGGACTAAGGCCTGTGATGGTTACATTACCACTTGCTTATAATTTCGTTTTCGGGAGTTGAAGAATGGCTTGGGTCTTTCTCACAGCAGAGCCTCCATTAACGCTGGAACTACACTGGCAAAGACCCAGTGAGACACATACTGTTTCAGAGATTGTGTTACCCTCCAGCTTCCTGGAGTTGGAGGGTAACGCAGCCTTGAGTGGGACACAGGGTGAGAGATCTTCCCAATCTTCGTGCTGGGCAGCATTGTACTTCTCTGAAAGGAGCATAACCAGTGGGCAGTGGTGGTAGGTCTCCCTTCCCTAGACAATGATTTTGATGGGAATGAGGCTGGGGAGGGGACTCTGGCTCAGTGGCGATGTAGGCGTAGCTGAGGAGAACTGGAGCCCAGCTCCTTTGCCACGTACAGAGTGGTCAGGCAGGAAAGGTGTGGAGCACAGCCAGCTGCTGGAGGAAAACTGTAGCATTACTTATGGATGATGTCAGTGGATGGGTGGAGAACTGACCACTTGTGGACCAGTGCCTGCGGAGGGATGGGATAAAGAGTGCATAAACATCAGAAGCTTCCAGGTGGCTCTGTCCAAAAAGCCACAGGGGTGCAGAAGTGGATGGGAAGGGAATGGTGAACAATGGCTAATACAGAGGGGCTGGCAAGTCTGTCTTGTTGGAGGGTAGTCTGAATTGAGTTGCAGTGAGAGATGAGATGAGGCAAAGAGTAATGGGTAGTGATAAGACTTCCATGTTGCAAAGTGTAGACTAAGGGAGGAGAGACCTTCGTGTTCTTAGAGATAGATAGTTTTTATGGCCAAGGGGCAGCTTAGTCAGGGTTGAAAGTGATGTGGAGCTGTTTATGATTAGGGAGAATGGGCATATGGATTTGTAGCCAAAGAGAGATGCAGAGGGCCAGAAAGGTTGTCAGCCTGATCATGAATAGAAAGAGGAGCTGCACCCTCAACACAAGGACTTTTAGTCCTTGGAGAGAAGTTGCTGAGTCAGTGACTGTAGGAGACAATTCCTCCATTGGTGTGCTGACAGCCATTTGATCATACAGAAAAGAAAAAAAGTAGAATTCAAGATTATTGGTTTTTCAATGGAAATCCATCTAGTATTCTGTTTTTACAGTGGATTGAAGCAAGGTCATCAGTCATAAGCCTATTGAAGATATTTGTTATTTAATCATGGGAACATTGACTTGTAGAATATCCTTGTTACATGTCAGGAGTTACATGTGCAGCCTTAAAAGAAATGGAGGTTACCATGTGTTAGTGAGGCAGCAGGTTTCCTCATAGGTCATCAGTTGGTAGGTGTCCATTTAGATGCTGGCATAGAACATGGTTGATCAGTGTGAGTACTATATCTGTGAATTGTTGTGTGTCCTTTTATTTAAATGCTTTGATCTATGAGAAAGATTGAAGTTGCAACAGTGAAGACTTTTATATCAGTCATTGTTAGTTTTGTATTAGAATGCCTAAGTGTTCTGAATATAATTCATCAGTTTACTGAAGAGTGCTTATTTTTTATAAATATTTTCCCAGGTTTGGTTTAAAGTAAATATGATAGGAAATTAACATTTTTTCTTGGATATTCTACGGGTTTGTAAATCTTTTTTTCTTGTCAGTACTGAGGTTTTAGCTAAGGGACTTGACCTTATTTAAGGTCTAGCACTTAGCCAAGCCTCCAACCCTTTTATATTCAGGTTATTTTTCATACAGGGTATCGCTATATGGTACCAGGCCACCCTCCCAACAGCAATTCTGGACCTACCTCCCATCTAGCTTGAATTACAGGTGGTCGCCATGATGCCTATTTATTTGTTGAGATGGGGATCTTACTAACTTTTTGCCCAGGCTGGATTTGAACTGTGATCCTCTTAATCTCTGCCTCTAGAGTAGTTGGGATTTATAGGTGTGAGCCACTGCACTCAGTCCTAAAGGGTGTAAATCTCTTACTGTGCATTATATCACTTTTGTAGTTTTTAATTCATTCTTTTTGTCTTGTTACCATTTATTTTCTATTTTAGATGTTAATGTAAATTGAAGGAAAAAGGGAAGCTAAACAATAGAGAGTTTCCCGTGCTTTTTTGTTCTGTTGTCTAATATAGTTTATTTTGTTTACAGGGATTTGTCCTGGCTGTTACTATCACACGGGAAGCAATTGATGAATTCCGTCGTTTTCAACGAGACAAGGAAGTGAATTCACAACTATATAGCAAGCTCACAGTAAGAGGTTAGGAGGACACTTGTAATCCTATCTAACATTTGCTTGGTGTAATCATTTTAGAGTTAACATGACAAAAGAAAACATCTAATTCTGTTCTTGAAAATAGCATTATGTGGTTGTATCCAGATCTAATTTTTATATACCATGTTCAATTTTAGGGTAGAATTTTGTTCATTCTCTAGATGCTTACATGTATGTGTGTGTATATATTTACATATTTATATATTCATATTATGTACACACAAACACATATACACAGACACATGTATATATCAAATTATATGTAACATTATTTTACCTATTCTGTTAACGGTACTTAGACACATGTGAAACCCAACTGGTATATACACATATTCTGTGAAGCCCAATATCACTTTATTGAAAATTGCCTGTATTTTGAACATATTCATAAAGGCTGATGTCTGTACCATGGTGTTAATCTATATTTGAGTATGAAGGCCTTTGAGCATCTGAAGTAAAATAAATGTTGCCATTCAACATGGTGGTAGGTGTGTAACAGCCATTCCTCATTCTTTCCCCTTCACTCCCCACCTAACCTCCAGGCAACCACTACTATGCTTTCTGTACTATGGTTTTGCCTACTCTGGACATTTCACATTTCATGTAAGTGGAATCATACACTAAACAGTCTTTTGTCACTGGCTTCTTCCACTTGACAATTTTAGGTTAGTATGAATCAGCACTTTGTTTTTGCTGACAAGTAACATTATACTGTACCATACACCACATTTGTTTATCTGTTCATTAGTGGATGGACCTTTGTAACTATTGTGAATAATGCTGGTATGAACATTTGTGTGCAGCTTTTTCCTGAAGGCTATTTTCATGTCTCTTGGCTATATTCCTTGGGCTGACATTAGACAACAGCCCCATGTTTAGCACTTTGAGGAATGACCACCCTATGTTCATGATTGCTTGCATCAGTTTGCATTTCCAGTAACAGAGTATAGGATTTCAGTTTTGCCACATCCTCTTGCCTTTTGATTGGCAGTGGGTGTGAAGTTGTATTGGACACAGTATATCTTCTTTGTGTAGTCATCTGTCAGATCCTTCACTTTTCTTCCCTTTTTTTTCTTTTTGGTGGTACTGGGGTTTAAACTCAGGGTCTTGCACTTACCAGATAAATGCTGTCTCTAACACTTGACTGTACCCCCAGACCTTTTTCAGATAGGATTTCTCACTTTTGCCCTGACTGATCTCAGACCATGAAGCTCCTACCTCTACCTCCCATATATTAGGTGTGCACCACTAGGCCCAGCTTGCTTTATTTATTTATTTATTTATTTTCAAGAGGATCTGGCTCACTTTTTGCCCAGCTGGCCTTGAACCATGATCCTTCTGTCTTTGCTTCCTAGGTAGCTGGGATTGCAGGTGGGATTGCAGGTGTGATTGCAGGTGGGCTTGCAGGTGGGATTGCAGGTGGGATTGCAGGTGTGCTCAGCCCCCCTGAGCCAGATTTTAACTCAACTGTTTTTTCAGTTGCTAAGTTGTTAAAGTTCTTTAGATATTATGGATCAAGTCCCTTGTTAAATTTATGATTGCAGATACAGTTGGCCCTTGATGTCTGCAGGTGTGTGGTTGCAAGGAGACCACTATTGAGTAGAAACTGGAAATACTCAGGAAGCAGAGAATCAGCACTGTACTGCAGATGCTTGGTCCATTTTCCTAGTGATACTGTCCATCTTCCACTAAAGACATGCCACTTCCAACAAACCTCAGTTTTTTTACTTTGTCACCTAAATTAAGTACATTACATGCCTTCGTTTAGCTCTTAAATTTAGGTGTGTGGTTCATTTTCATGTACCGTTTTCTGTGAGATACATGTCCAAACTGTTTTGCATGAATTTTAAGTTGTCTAGTACCATTTGTTGAAAAGACTGTTCTTTCTCCAATGAACTGAAATTTATTAAAGAGCTGTGATGATTGGTGGAGAAAGGATGAGTCTTAGGAAAGAATGTAAACTTCAGTTTTGCAGAAAAGAACCCCCAAATGGCCAGGTAACTTAGTATAACTTCACAGTGGCTTCTTAAGAGCATAGTATAGATCCTAGCTTGTGTAAAAAAACGTTTTCGCTGTGGCGTTTGGGCTGAACACAAATTTTGTTTCTGATATATTAATTTTGTACTTTTAACTGCACACTAAGTAGAAGAGTGGTGTCAGTGAAAAGGCAGAGCTGGCAGCTCCACGTGTCTTCCTTCCCTACCCTACCCACTTCAACACACATACAGAAGATGCCCAGGCACACTTTGGCAGAACCATGACAGCACCCTACGATTGCTGAATCTGGGAAGGCAAAGCAAAAGGCATTGGAAACTTTTGGTTCTCTTTTTGTGATTGACCTTACTCCAGCCCCTCTCCAGGAAGTCTCCAAGATGGCAGTCCAGGTCCCAGCTTGAGAGCAGAACTTATTTAAATGGAATGGTATTTGACTCTCTAATCAATCTGTAGATGACTCGAAGGAGTAACCCAGGTTGCTGATCTTTTGCTCACCTGACTTGGAAGTCATTTAGGGCAGAAAAGTGGAAAGGCAGCAGGCACTTCTCAGGTATATGTCAGGCTAAAGAACAAACACAGTAGCCCTCCAAGGGGTAAGAGATTACAGTTGAGCCCTACACCAGAGTGTCAAATGCCATGCAGTAAAACTTGGGGAGAGAATGTTTTTGGGATGCTTGGACATTCAGAAGCCTCTGTGTATCCTGGGCAGTTCTGAGAACCATATGCAGGCTGAGAACTGGAAGAACAATAAGTAATGACCTGAGAGGTTCTTTGGTCTGTGGTAGATTTCTAAGGTCAGTGCAAGGAGAAAGTGAAGGCTCAGACAGAGTTGTAAAGGGCTTGAGCCACTTGCTAGTGAAGGAGAGTCCAACCACAGAGCCGATCTGCGAAGACTGGGAAAAGCTATGTTTGTTTCCTCTTCTCCCTCCTCACATTCAAAGAGACCTCTCAAACACTGGCTGAATACAAGCTAATGGAAGAGAGACTTCAGAGACCACACACAACAAAGAATGCACACTTTACAAAATCACTAAACACAGCTGTAGCATAGAGAAAGTGACAAAACCATACCAGAATGGGGAGAAATACCTGAAGCAGTTGATTTTCGGAGTTACTAGATTGCCCAGTTTTCCACTAGAAATTATGAAGCATGAAAAGAAACCTTCACAAAAAGAAGTAATAGAGATTATTTCTGATGAAGCCCAGACATTGAACGTACAGACAAGAAATTTAAATCAGCTTTCTTAAATATGGTCCTGGAAGTCCTGGGGAAATTGCTTAAAGATGCCAAGAAAGACGTAGGAACATGCAGAGAACACAGTAAAGGTACAGAAATTATGTAAAGCATGCAGATGAATGCTGGAGCTGAAAAGTGAGATAGATGAAAAAGAAACCCACTGAAGGTTTCAGTGGCAGATTTGATCAGGCTGAAGCATCAAATCAGTGACCTTGAGCCTAGACCAGTTGAAATGGTGCAGTTTGAGAAGCAGAACAAGTGAAGAGCAGCTCTTCAGAGGTGGTGGAGCAACATGAAGTGCACCCACGTCCACATCATGGGAATCCTAGGAAAGCAGAGAGGAAGGCAGAGAATAAGCAAGGGGTAAGGGCCAGACACTTCCTAAACTTGGTAAAAGACACAAATCTGTGCACTCAGGAGGGTCAGCAGGCCCCAGAAGGATACACATGGGGAGATCCACACTAAGACATGTATTTAGGCTGGTGAAGCCGCAAGACAGGCATTTTGAATGCAGCAAGAAATAAGCAATTTATAATGGAGATAGGAACCAAACTGGGTGCATCATTTGCATGTATGGAAATGCCACAGTGAAACCCTGTGCAGCTGTTATATACTCATAAAAACGTTAAAAAAAAAAGGAAGGGTTAAAAAATGAAAGAAAGAAAAGAAGCAATTGGTCCTCTTATAAGGGGGTACTCACTAAGATCACAGAGACCATGGAGTGGGTACCATTTAAAAAATGATAAAAGCCAAAATCTCAAACCAAGGATCTCGTTGAGTGAAAACAGCTCTGATGTCCCATGGTGATGAATGAATAAACAAATGGATGGGGGATGTTATTCAGGCATGAAAGTATAAAAAATGTGATTTGTGGACAACATGAATGAACCTCAAAAACATGCCATAAGAAAGAAGTTAGACACAAAAAGTCACATGCTACATGATTTCTTTTATGGGAAAGCTGATGGAGATAGTTGCCATGGCCAGGGGGAAGAAGAGAACAGGGAGCAGCTGCATAAGGGAGTGGGATTTCCTTCTGTGGTGGGACTTCTGCTCACGGACTGTACAATATCGTGAATGTAACAAATGCTTGGAAGTGGCTCATTTTTGTTATGTGAGGTTCACCTAAAATGGTATAAAATCCTGAGGAAGACATTATGGTTATGTCTTTCACATTTCTGTGGTACTTGAACTCAAAATACTTTAAAAATAATTTCAAATGTGAATGGAAATTTACTTTAAAAAAGTTAGCCACCATTTTTTTTTAATGTCTATGGAAATTTTACATGTGGTGGTAACAGTGATAGAAAGAGTGTGTCTCCTCTTTCTTGTGTGTTGGATGGTTTTCATAATATAACCACCATCATCCAGGGTAGGTCAGTACTATCTCTGAGTTACAGAGAAGACACCTGAGGCTCCCAGTGAATGCCTTGCCTCAGTCACAGAGCCAGGTCTTGAACTTAGGTTATACTGATGTCCAACCCAGCATTTTGTCAACTGTGTACACCTTGCTGTGACGGTATTTTCATGAGTGAAATCTGAAGTGTAAAAAGGACATTTGTTTGGTCTTACTATAGAGCACCATGTAAAATTCATTCTCTTTATTTGCTGATTAGCTCCTGAATTTCTCATATTTAACAAATACTTGAATGGCATGGATGGTGACTTCCTTTTGTGCTTCACTGTGATTTGTTGTGTTATATTTGCAACATTTGAGCCTTTTATATTTGAAGATCTCAAGCACATTTTTTAT